TTCTTAACAAGCAGACAATCTTTTCACAAGAAATATACATAGTATTTTGGAGGGAAAAATAAAATAAAAAAGTCAAGAATCAAACCTGTGTGTGAATGATCAAGAAACCCAACAGGTGCAGAAATTGCAACAATATTAACAACAAAAATTCAAATGTTTATTACACATGAAACAAATGGAAAATAAACATCATTAAAAGAACCCAATAAAAAGTTGAGTCGTTTGAACTCTCCGAAAGGGACCAAATATTAATATTTTTGATACACAAATAAAAGGAACATAACATGTCTTACCATAGAGCAAAGCTGCCAAGGACATCCTACCAAGTGCTTGATGCAAGAATGAAATTAGTAAATTCCTTGAAGATTTTCTACACAATACTTGGCCAATGAAAAATCTGAATGGCATATAACAAAATCTGTGTGTGTGTGTATGTGTGTGTGTGTGTGTGTGTGTGTGTGTGTGTGTGAGAGAGAGAGAGAGAGAGAGAGAGAGAGAGAGAGAGAGAGAGAAATTTTATACAAATTTTCGAAAGGAGAAAGAACTTACCCCCAATTGTACAATACATGGGGTGACATTTATGCATGTTCTTGGATCCACCATGCAATCAATAAAACTCATTGGCAACCCCATAGTCAGATTTTTGAAAAGAAAAAAAAAAATGGAAAGAAGAAGCCAAAAAATAAAAATAAAAATAAAATTTCTTTAAGGTGCATATATAAGCTATTAGGTCATAAAGGTTCATCCATGTTAGAAAAGATAAAAGAAACAAGGATACCTCCAATGTGATCAATAAGAGAAACAAGGGTACCTCTAAGGTTCATCCAAGATCTAGGCATTGCAATAACCAAATCACAATTGTGTGGTATCAGTGAATCCTCACAAACAAATCAAGATCCATAGAGGCATCACCTTTCATGTACATACAAAAAATCCCCAACCAAGATTATAATGAAGTTCTTATACAGATTATAATGAAAGAAAAATATATATTTGCATTGTTTATTGCACTGAAATCATAAAGAATGGAGAAGAGAATGAATAAGAGAGACAAGAAATCAACCTGCACATTCAATGTTTTCCACACAATGAATAAGGAAACAACCTAGAATTAAAACCCAAAGCATATTAATCAGCAAAAATAAGTACCTCATCCTTACTAGAACCAATTAAAGTACCACATCGATCTGCAAAAGAAGAAGAAAAAAAGACAATTTACACTAATGATATCCAATAAGAAAGCAGATTCACAGATATATATATATATATATAATCAAACAAATCAAAATCACTAATAATATAATAAAATTAAACAAACATTCACAACATTAGATTTGAAGCTATAGGCACTATCTATTTTCTTTAGAGAAGGCTATGTTTGGACTGAGTGATTTGGAGAGAAAAGAAAAGAAATGGGAAGAAATGTATTTCTCTTACTTGTTTGGATAAACTAAGTAGAGAGAAATGTGAAGAAATAAAGAGAAATGGAGAGAAACTTATTTCTCTTATTAGTCTCATTTTCAATCTTCCCAAAAGTGGAGAGATTGGGAGAGAAAAGAAACCAGTATTTTCATAATACCAATTTTGTCCCTATAAAAATAAAAGAAATAAAATGATTGAAAATATAAAAAGGTTATTTTTGTAATATAACATAAAATAATTTCTTTTCTTTTCTCTTAATGAAATCTAACCAAACAAGAATGAGAGAAATCACTATCATTTCTTTTCTCTTCTTTTCTTTTCTCTTATAACTTAAGTAATCATTTCTTTTCTTTTCTCTCCTAGGTTCCCAAACATAGTGGAATAGTACTATAACGCGTATCAAACAGAGTGACTAAACAAGGAATTTAAGCATAGGGGAAAAAAGGTATCAATTTTCACGGAAAGTAAATGAAAAAAATAATTAGACATAAACTATTTTAACTAAATTGATGAAAATAAACTATTTCGTATTTTTTGTTGTTGTGATTTAGAAGGCGTTGATACTATGTAAATCAAAAAATTTAAATATACAAAAACTATCAAAATAAACCTTAAATCCATTAGTGTATCATCACTTGTATCACATATTAAATTCCACCACGCCTAAATTCCAAATAGAAGTAAGAGACTAATCACTTGTGAGGAGGAACTAATTGATATGAAAAAATGTACTTGAGATGAAGAGTAAGAGAGATCGAGATCGATATGATATGAGAATGGAAAAATAGATAGTTCATCAACAGATCTAATTTGACAACGAGAAAGTATATCTGATAGTTCAAACTCAAACACCGATTAACACTTGTTAATGAAAAACAAAATAACAATGGCTTGCTTTAAACCTTGTTAATTAACAGATTTAACAAAATATGAGAGAGATTAGATCAGATCTAGTTTAGATTTCTATAAGATTAGATTGAATTTCTTGTTCGATTTTTGATCTTCGATTTGTGAGATAGATCGAATTCGTTGAAGAACAGCCAGAGTGAGAGTAGATCTAACAAAATACGAGAGAGATCAGATCAGATCAAGTTTGAATTTTGATCAAACTAGATTGACTTTCTTGTTCAATTTTAGATATGCGACATGCGAGAGAGATCGAGATCGAGTTCGATGAAGAACAACTAGAGTAAGAGAGATCAATTTTAATCGCGTGAGTGAAGAGCAATGTGTGAGAGAGAGTGAGATTGTGTTATTTTTGCTAACTGTAATGGTTTGAATAGATATGGGGTTAAGTTTCCGTTAAGTTAAACAGACTTGACTCATTGAGACCATCAATAGGCATCACGCCTTGAAACACTGCGTTTTTTAAAACGTCTTGATATAAGTGCATTATAGGCAACTTTTCTTGTAGTGTGTGAGACAAAAGGGACAAGAACCCCATGATTTAGGGTATGGCCATGCCTTGGCCATACCTTGCATTTCCATCATTTTTTTCAATTAAGCTTAATTAAACTTCCATCAATGCATCAGCCCTATCAATGGCCATGCCTTAGCTTTGGTACAAAAATAAACTATATACACACACATATATAAGATACATCTAGTACAATTAATAATACAAAAATAGGGGAAAAAAATACACTTATTATATTATTTCACATAAATAGGGTTGAAAATGGAATAAAAATAAAAAGGGCCAAATTCCAATTTAGGAGAAGTAATAAATTATGTTTGATATATTTTAATGAGAAAATGATTAAAAGAGTACCGATAGATCATATTGCAAAGAAAAGCAAAAAACCAAGCGAATTAACATTAACTGGAGGTTAGGGTTTTTAAGTAATAAAATAACACCATAGGGTTTAAAAGTGATAACAAAGATACCAGATTAATTAGGGTTTAATATGATTATTTTATGAAGTTTTTCTCAATCTAGGGTTTAAAATGCAACTACTTGATAACTCAGGGTCTTCATTGAAGTAAATCTGAAAATTAGGGCTTCAAAAGTGATTACAAAAATCAAGGTCTCTATAACTGGAACTAGGAGAGGGGATCATGGCAATGTCGCACTCTGTAAACCCTAGATCTAGAGTTTTGGAGTGGAAAAAGAAGAGAATGAGGAGGAGGAGGAAAGAAAGAGGGCAGTGGACAGTAAGAGGAGAAAAAGAGGGAAGGACCCAATCGAAGATGGCTCTGGCAACAAAGAAATGCTAGAATGCTTTTGTTGGGTTTTTTTTTTATCCTTAACCAAAACAATGTTATTTTGGTCTATTTCAAGGAATATTATAGGATCCACTACTCTAAAGGATCCAAACGTTCTGTAGTAGAGGTAGTGATAAAGGGTGGCAGTGGAAAAATATTTATTTTTGTCCAATTACTTTCACAATTGTGGGGGTCGAGTAAATGAGGATATGGGAAGCCTTCGGGCTGACCAAAGCGGCAAGGAGGGCGTGCACAAATCGTCCATAGAACGGACTTGTGAACGTTGCAAATAGCCAAACTCAAATCGGCCCATGCCAGATCAAATAAGAGCTATCGCCGAGTAAGATAATTTAGAGGGCCGTCGGGGCCATATAACCCGTGGGCTGCATCAGGGCCCAAGAATGAAGGTAAGACCCAGTAGTATAAAATGGCCCCCTGGAAGGCCCCTGTGAACACTATAAAAGCAGGAGTGACGGTTAATAAGAGGGGAGAGAGAAAAAGATAATAAGGTCTGCATAAACGAGAGAGAGTATTCCTAAACTCACTACACCACATTTGGCGCCGTCTGTGGTAATACTCAAGTGCGTTCATGGCAGACGTAACAGATGATCCTTCGCTCATTGCTAATGATGGTACACCAAGGGATGATGTTACTCCAAGAAACATGACCTAGTGGATCAAACCTCACCTTCAACATCTATGCAAGAAACCATGCAAACGATAATGGACTAAGCAAAATGGAATGAACAACGACTGGAAGAGATGGTGACGGACAATGAACATTTGCATAAAGAGCTGGCAGGCTTTGGAGTTAGCCAAATCGTAGTAGACAGCATCGCATCATGAGTGGGGTCAGTTGCCAGAACAGAGGAAGAATAATCCATGACGTCGTGTCTAGCTCACCAGAGGGGAGTCCATATGCACAACACAGGCAAGGAAAAGGTGATGGTTCAGATGGGGAAGACAGACATAATCCTTTCACGCAATGAATCGTAAGGGCAGTCTTGCCTAAAAAATTCAAGGCATCGATGTTTACGCTGTATGATAGAAAATCAAATCCTATGGATCATATTCACCATTATAAGCAAGCAATGACATTGCACACTGATGATAAGGAGCTGATGTGTCGCAAGTTTCTAAGCAGCTTGGGCTCGTTAGTAGTTCGGTGGTATTATAAACTCGAACCGGTTTCAATGAAGGGTTTTCATTAGCTCCAAAAATCCTTTCAGGCAAGATTTATCACTAATGAGGTTTAGCCTAAGCAAGTTGACTGGCTCTAGGCGATGCAAATCAAGCCAGAAGAAACCCTCCGTGAATATTCAGTGCAGCACTAGGAATGTTTCAACTTGGTTGACGATGCTTGCAATGACTCCATGGCCATCACTGTCTTCAAAATGGGCTTACACCCTGATAATCCGCTTCGGAGCTCGTTGACAAGGCGGCCTCCTAAATTCGTGTGGGCCTTAATGAAGAAGGTTGATGAGTACTGCAAGGTGGAGGATGATGCCCTCCATGTGAAAGCGGGCCAAAAGGTCATGGAAACGGCGGCACCTGCCCCAGTACAGCCAATAAGCGTAGCCCCGCCGGAAAGAAGCCCCAAGCCACAAAGGCTAAAACGAGAAAGTCGCCGAGATCCACGCCGATCGAGGGACCAGTATTCATGCTGGTCGGGTGAGCAATATCAGGTGGAAAGCAGACACCCCAGGCGGTCTAAGAAAAAGTATACTGAGTTGACCGAAACGATTAGCAAGATACTCCCCAAAGTCCAACATGTACCCTTCTTTAAGTGGCCGGCCAAGATGATTAGACCACCCGATGAAAGGCGAAGGGATCGGTGATACAAATACCACAAAGACCATGGCCATGAAACCAACAGGTGCTACACCTTGAAGGATTATCTTGAGGAGCTGGTACATGATGGCCGACTAACTCATTACCTCCCTCACGGGGTCAACACACCCAATGTAGTGGCTCTGCGCTCGGATTCACCTCCTCTGGCAGTAATTCACATGATATATAGTCTTCTATTGCTGACCAGCATACACGCGATTCAATCTCAAGAGCCCCAACCATGCCCATCCAAGCCGTCCATACCAGCCAAACGGCCTCATCGGACCGGTAAGATCAGCTTCGATGACACGGATCTCGACGGGGTGATCTTTTCCCATGACGACCCTCTCGACATTGAATTACGCGTAAACAAATATACGGTTGAACGCATTTTGATCGATCAGGGGAGCACACCAGAGATAATATATTATAAGATGTTTGTTAAGCTCAGCTTCACGGAGTCAGACTTACTGCCGGCTGAATACCCCTTATTTGGCTTCAACGCCAATCCCGAATACCCTCTGGGTAAGGTCAAGGTTGCAGCACGTGTGGGCACTAGGACACTCGAAGTGGAGTTTTTAGTGGTAAAGCTTCCATCGCCATATAACTTAATCATGGAGAGAACCTGATTGCATGAGATGTAAGCCATACCAAGTACTTATCATTAGTTACTCCGCTTCCTAACACAACACGGCATTGAGCAGATTCGCGGCTCTCAGAAGTAGACAAAAGAGTGCTACCTTGCTGCTTCAATAAAAAACCAAGGGAGATAGAAGTAAACTCCATTAAATTTCAAACCGAGAAAGCCTCGAGGATGTTGGGAAACTCCCCACCCATAAGGCAATTAAGGATCTTGAGCGGATTGCGCTTCTCGACAAACCAGATAAATTCTTCATGATTGGCACTTCTCTCACTACCAATGACCGCCATGAGTTGATTTCATTCCTACACGACAATGTTGATGTCTTCGCCTGGATGCCTTATGAGATGTTGGGAGTGGACCCTAGCATGGCACAACACCGGTTGAATGTTGACCCCATGGCTAAACCTGTCATCCAGAAGAGTAACCGCTCAGTAGCCAAGCACACTTCGGCCGTCGTTGTCGAAGTCGATAAACTTCTGGAGGCTGGAGCAATCCACAAAGTCAATTACCTAACCTGGCTGTCCAACACTGTTGTTGTCAAGAAGAGAAATGAATCCTGACGAATCTGCGTGGACTTCACGAATCTGAATGAGGCCTGTCCCAAGGATTGTTTCCCTTTCCCCAGAATCGATCAGCTAGTTGACGCAACTGCACACTATCAACGTATGAGCTTCTTTGATGCATACAGGGGTTATCACCAAATCGCCATGCATCCTAAAGACCAGGAAAAAATTGGCATGCCTCACCCTAAGGGGCACTTACTATTATAAAGTCATGCCCTTCGGCCTGAAGAATGCTGGGGCAACATACCAAAGGCTTGTCACTACCATGTTTAAGGAGTAACTCGGCCGTACCATGGAAGTGTATATCGACGACATGGTGGTAAAATCCAAGGAAAAGAATTCTTACTTGGCCGACCTGTCCACAACCTTCAACATTTTCTAGAAGTACAAGATGAAACTTAACGCCTCAAAGTGTGCATTCGGCATCGGATCTGGCACATTCCTTGGCTATATTGTGAACCATCATGGAATAGAAGCCAACCCGAAGCAAATTAACGCAATCTTAAACTCAGCTCTCCTCAATCGGCCAAAGAAGTGCAAAAGTTAATGGGGATGGCCGCCGCTCTTAACAGATTCATCAGCTGCTCTTCGAATTGTTGTAGGCTATTTTTTCACTCTTCGGCAGGGAAAGGCATTTCATTGGAGGCTCGAATACCAATTTGCCCTCGACGGACTGAAAGCTTATCTCCGTTCAATACCGCTTGTAACAATTCCATCGCCGAATGACCCATTTATCGTGTATATCTTGTGGAATCAAATCGCGCAGTCAATGTCGTGCAGCTAAAAGAAGAGTTGGGTGAGCAAAGGCCCATTTTTTATGTTAGCAAAGTAATGGTGGATGCTAAGACACGGTATCTACCATTGGAAAAGTTTATTCTGGCCCTTGTGGTGGCCGCTAAGAAATTAATGCACTATTTCCAAGCCCACACTATAATTGTGTTCACGGACTACCCTATTCCAATTCTCTCTTAGGACGGCCATCAAAGGCCAGGTTTTGGCAAACTTCATTGTCGAGTTCACAGGTTGTCAAGCCGATTTTGAGTCTGAGCAGCTAGCTGTCCGACCTTAGCAAAAGTGGAGAATGTACATGGGGGACATTTGGCAGATGTACTATGATGGTTCATCTAACCAACATGGTAGCGGGGTAGAAGTTGTGATTATGACCCCAGAAGGCGCAATAATTGAGCAAGCGGCCAAACTCGGTTTCAACACATCTAATAACGAGGCCGAGTATGAGGCTCTATCAATCGGCCTCCATAATGCGCTTCGTCTTGGCGCTAAGCACTTACAGGTCTTATATGATTCAAAGCTAGTCATCAATCAATTGAAGGGAGAATAATGCAGCTAAAAACGACTGAATGGTAGCTTATATGAAGACGGCAAATTCACTGCTCATACAATTCGACCACCATGAGTTAAATTAGATTACCCGTGACCAAAATACCCATGCAGATGCTCTCACTTGCTTGGCTTCTACCATCAATTCGGAAGTCAAACGAACCATTGAGATGGGATTTATCCCCGAGCCGAGTATCAGCCACCCCGAATCTGCTAGTGTCAATGTCATCAATTTGGGGCCCCGAGTTGGATGGATCCCATCGTCTCATTTTTATCCTTCGAACAATTGCCAACAGATAAGAAGGAGGCCCATAATCTGCAGAACAAAGCCCTACGCTACTACTTGGATCCCCACAAAAAGTTTTAAAAAAGTCTCTGGCAGGGCCATATTTGGAATGTGTGCATCCAGACCTTATGGAGGATTTTTTTGGCCAAAATACATGAGGGCAGTTATGGTGCCCATTCTAGAGGGCATTCACTCGCCCATCGAGCCGTAACCCAGGGTTATTATTGGCCCGCCATGCAAACTGATGCAAAGAACTACGTAAAGGTTACAACTCTCTATCCCAAGAATAACCCATCAATCAGTACTCTTATAATACCCGATCAGATGCAATGAAAATTGCCTCTAGTGTCCAGTCATTGGCCACCAGTTGGGTTCATGCCCCTTATTCGATGGATGGCCCGATCAGATGTACTGAAAATTACCCCTAGTATCCAGTCATTGGCTACTGGTTGGGTTCATTCACCTTGTTTGATGGATGGCCCGATCAGATATATTGAAAATTGCCCCTAGTGTCTAGTCATTGGCCACTTTTTCAACATTATGCAGCCACATGTAATGGGGATCATCAGATCCTGGAATAGTTTCCAACCAATCAAACTCATGCATCTCTTCTGACCTATTGAGAACTTACTCCAGTCCCCTCCGAAGCAGTGACAGATTCCTTACATACACTTTGCAATGATCATGAATGCGATGCCCCTTGTATGGCCATTCTCAGCTCGTTTATGAATTTCACACATGGACTTGTTTTAGAGCTTGGAGCGAACATTTGTGTATGGAATTTTAACCATGCCACTCTGTTGAACTTTGAGCGACAAACACACTATGGTGACTCAATGAAGAGTGCTTTTGAGTGACAGACACGCTATGGTGACTCGATGAAGAGTGCAAACTGAGACAAATACCAGGCACGACACAACAGAACTCACAACTAACCCAAAAGCAGAAAAAGACTCAAGGTAACTGATCATTCATAGTACCCCTAGTATTACTTATGTTCTCTTTAGAAATCAATTTCGCAAAACCCAAGGTCCGATTCTTTTTTTTGCTCAAGATAGAGATTCTACTGATAAGTATTGAAAATTTCTCCACCTGTTGATTCACGTTAGTTCTTTCTTACCCAACGCAAGTATATGATATGCACAGCAGTCGGTGTGGCTCATGGATTAATGCGACGCTGACAACGTGAATTGGGCAAGATGATTGAGTTAAGATGGATGAGATAGATATGGTTAAGACCGAACTTCAAGATGAACTTGCCTACGTATCCCAAGATGGGAATCAGGTCATCATAGTTCATGACTGATGTTCGCTCGAGTGTTAACACTCTCCTTTTGCACTCTAACTTTTGCCAAAGTCGCCCTTTCAGGCTTTTCAACCTTGCAAGCTATATATTTTTAATTTCTCATTTTTCATGCTTTAACTTTTTCCTAGGTCGCCCTTTTCAAGTTTTCGGCCTAGCGAGCCTCTCAAGGATAGCATTACAACATGGGTAGTGAATTTGATCAATAGTCATCCTTGCCCTAACACTTGAACTGGCTTTGCCTTGAGTTGAGTTTGGTCTTGCCTTCTTCCTATCTTTCACTCCATTTTCAGAGTTGGTTCTTCTTGCAATGTTGTACCTACTTGCATTGGCTTCCCCGAATTTGGGCGGAAGTTCCTTTCCTCACAGTTGATTGGATTTTATTCCAATGGATACCCCTGGCTTAATGGTTGATTTCTTTTCTCTTTTCTTTCTTTTCTTTTCTTTTTTCTTTTTGGTTTCTCTTATCCTTTTCTCTTTGAAATAATGAAAACACCAGGGGAGAAATTCTATGATTTGTGAGGTCTGAAAGCTGCCTTGTACTTGCAATTCTAAAAGCCGCCTTATGCTTACCAAAATGATTGCTTAACGGCGAAGAGAATCCCCAAGATAATGTAAAACACCACGCACAATTTTGAACCTATCTTCGCAAGTTTTGCAAAAGAAGCAGCTTAAAATTTTTGAAATCATGAATGACTTTATGCTGATAAGTCAGAATTCACTCAAACCATTCAGGGGATCCTTCTCAATACTCGAGCTTATTCACAGAATCTCATTCAAAAATAAATTCAAAGCCTTTTTCTATTTGTAAAAGGTCACATATGCATCACTATAGGCATAGTAAAATGATCAGAAACTTGACTCTCACTTTCTTACAAAGATGAAGACCAGAGGGTACACGAGAGTGACTCAAAGGAAAAGACTTAACTGACGCAACAACGTAAAAAAAGACAAAGAAAAAAACACTCACAACACAACTATTTAAATGACACAACTCAAAACAAAATAAGCATTTCTGAGACAAAAAGGGGGTTTTCCTTCTCCAAGTCCATCTATAGAATTTCAAAAATGACTTCAAGTAACCCGTAGGAAAGTCCAAACCTACCTTCAATTCAGCAATGCACATTCACACCCAGTAGGATTGATTTCAGACTGTCAAACTGAGTCTCCCAGAATGAACCTCACAATTACGTTGTCTCTACCGAAACAATTGTTTTTTCATATCATGCCCCTAGTTTAGAGGTCCTTCCCAAGTGCTTTCAACAATTACCGTAGCTAAGACTGAGATTCATTATTCCAACCACCATTGTTGGCATCACTACTGCATCAAGCTTGAACTCGCCAAGATCGCGTAAACTTTCCATCTCTTCAAAGATGTTGTTCCTTTTGCTCAGATCAGAATCAGAAGATTCAGGAATGAACACAATGGGTTTGGGCTCATTGGCGAGTATGCTGTGTTGGCTAGGGTAATGGTTGGTTGGTGGCAAGCTGTGTAT